AAAAAAATATTATATATATATATATATATATATATACTACTTGTCTGTGAAGAAGTGTGGCATTATATAATCAATATAAAATACTCTATCCTTTAGTGCAATAACAAAACTATTATCCTATGAATATTTATTTATAATCTACGTTCATTTCGTACGCCATTTTCGCGTGAATGTTATTGTGTCGATTTTTGGATGGTTTCTAGTGTTTTATTAGTGTTTTAGTATAATGTTTTGTTATAAAATTGTAAGGAAAGTTTTTGTGGGAATATAATTTATCTTTTAACGTAAATAATTTCGAGTAATATATGTAATAAAACCTAACTTTTGTTTAGACCACAAAATAGATAATTTAGTATAGATTTTATAATGCCAAATTTCTTAATAGAAAAGTAGTCTCTAAATATAGGTTTTAAGGTTTTAAGTTAATGGTTTTAAGGGATTTGCCGCGCGCTTGCAACTGCATGAGATTTTTATGGCGCTTGAAGAGTTATAAGAGTTTTAAAAATATACACATCAGACTAGGTTGTGTGTTATAATTACGACCTTAGTCTGCCTTAATTCTCGAATCGCTTTTTTCGCCATAGTACTGTTGCGCGCCTAAGTTGACGTCTGGTACCGGAACTAGCGCTATCTAGTGTCGGGGACCAGAACGAGGGGGCTTCCTAGAAAATGTTGATTTTGAAATTTCCACCAACAGCGCCATCTAGTATCGAACAGAAGAATTAAGCTTTCTAGAAGCCCCACACTCGGCTCCCGTATTTGCTGGAATATATGGATGTTTCGGTGGAAAAGGTGTATTTAAAGCCGCTGCAAGCCGCGATCGGGGAAGTATTGAATTGGCGGCACAAGCGAAGACTTCAAAGCGAAATAAAGTGAACTAAAGTGTTAAGTATGATTAATTATTGGTGTCTTTTAAGTTTTAATTGTTGTAAAGTGAATTAAAGTGTTAATTTTGGTAATTTAATCGGCAGTTTTTATTGTCACGAACCATAAGCTCGTAACAATTGGTGTCAGAAGTGGGATAAAATTATGCCGATTTTACCTCAGAGCGAGATGGAGGGTGTCCGTACCCGAAGTCAACGCAAGCAGGAGACGGACCAGAGGCGATTTGGTGTTGCAACGCCGCAGGCGTCAGAGGGCGCACTGCCAGCCACTGAGGCTGGCCCGTCAGCAGCTCCTACCCCTGCAGCAACTGACTTAGATGCCCTGATGGTGATGCTGCAGAAACAGGTCTGCCGACAGGAGGAACAGGTCCGTCGTTTGGAAGAGCAGCTGCGGGGCGGACAAGAGGAACAGGCCCGTTGGTTGAACGAGCAGCAGGAGGAGCAGGCTCGCCGACAGGAGGAACAGGCCCGCCGACAGGAGGAACAGTCCCGTTGGTTGAAAGAGCAGCAGGAGGAACAGCATCGCTGGCAGGAGGAACAGATACGCCGATTGGAAGAGCAGCTGCGGGGTGGACAAGTGGAACAGGCCCGTCGGTCGGAAGAGCAGATGCTCCTCATGAAGGATCTTCACGCTACCTTCGGGAAGGAGGTAAAGGAGGTGAAGGATAGGGTTGCTCAACATGACAACCGCCTGTCACAAGCTGAAACCCATATCAAGTAAGCTAAAACCCAAATCAACCAACTGAACAATCGGGTTGGCTGACGTGAAGAAAACGCTGGACGACTTCAAACTGGGGGATGGAACTACAGCTCCGTAGTAGCTACTACACCTTCGCTACGTGAGTTCAAAGTGCCACCGTTCGACGGGGCTTCTTCCTGGTCAGCTTACAAAATCCAGTTCGAAGCCATTATGAAGACGAACGGCTGGAATAAAAGTCAGGCCGTGACTGCTCTCACACTAGGCCTGCGCGACCAGGCCTCAACTGTTCTGGAAGCTCTCGGTGAGGAAGTGACTTACGAGCAGCTTCTTGAGGCATTGAAGGCGATATATGGCGACGCTCACCTGGAACACGTCTTTCGTGCGCAGCTTAAAGATCGCGTGCAGCGCGATCCAATTCAAAGAAAACCTGCAGCAGTGGGCTCTGGAGGTAGAGAAGCTGGTGTGAAAAGCATACCGGTCTGTACCTGCGCTCATTGAAGGGAACCTGTTGCAAACATTCATCGACGGCATCCGCGATCTTGAAGTCAGAGCTGCGGTGAGGCCCGGGCACCACGTGACATTTAAGGAAGCCTTGGCCCATGCATTTGAGGTTGAAGCCGTGTGGCAGGATCATCGTTCCCATCGCGTCAGATAGGTTGCAGCACCTACAGATAACGACCACAATAAAAGTTACAGCCCAAGGTGCTACGGCTGTGGGTAAAGGGGCCATCTTCAACCCAGCTGCCCTAAGCGATCTGTAAAAAGGGAAGTTGATCGATCTCGAAAGGGTAGTGCCGCTTACAGCACCGCCCAGCAGCAGTAGGAATACGACTTGATTATCGCACACTGCAGCAGGAAATCGAATGGCAACGCAGATGCATTGTCAAGAAGACCTTATCCTGATAAGTGCAAGAATAGTTCTAGCCAAGAGAGTAAGTATGTGGTATCTGTGAGGATGCTCGGGGCCGACCACCTCAGCAACGAGTGGAAGGACAGTTTACAACATGCACAGCAGGAAGATCTTGACATCGAGCCGATTCTGGAATGGATGAAGGCCGGTGCTCCGAAGCCCAAGTGGAGCGACATCTCAGCGATGAGATTGACCACGAAAAGCTATTGGGCCCAATGGGACAGCTTGCTGCTTCAGGATGGAGTCCTGTGCCGTAAATGGGAAAATGGTCAAAGAGACAGTTGTAGTTTGCAAATGGTTGTCCCTTAAATTAAAGTTCCGGATGTTCTACAGCTGTACCAAAATGATTGTTCAGGAGGCCATCTGAGAGTTAAACGAACTCTACTGAAGATCTGAGAACGGTTTTACTGGGTCCATTATCGTGAAGATGTCGAGGACTGGTGTCGCAAATGTACAAGTTGTGCGGCTGTGAAGGGACCTCAGACTCGTAGTATAGGTGCATTGAAGTTGTACAATGTTAGTGCACCGTGGGAGAGAATAGCCATTTACGTGCTGGGGCCGTTTCCGGAGAGTGAAAGCAGTAACAAGTATTTCATGGTTGTGATGGATTACTTCACTAAGTGGCCAGAAGTCTTCGCCATTCCAAATCAAGAAAGTTCAACAGTTGCAGATAATCTAGTTCATGAAGTCTTCTGTCGTTTTGGAGTACCCTTAAAGATTCACAGCGATCAAGGAAGGAATTTTGAGTCTCAAATATTCCAGGCAACTTGCCGAGTTACGGGTACTCATAAAACAAGAACAACTTCTTATCACCCGCAATCTGATGGAATGGTAGAACGATTTAATCCGACATTGGAGAGGTAACTAGCAAAAGTTGTAAAAGGTGCAAAAGTGTGTTGTTGTAGACAATCAGCAACGTGATTGGGACAAGCACATAAAACCGTTTTTGTTGTCATATCGAAGCGCTGTTCACGAAAGAACATCAGTTACACTAGCTTTCGCAAACTTTGGAAGAGAATTATGGCTGCCTGCGGACCCGATCACCGGGATACCCCCTGATGCCCACGCAGTATAACCGATTATGCAAATGACTTGCGGAATAAAATTAATGACACTTATGAGCACGTGAGGCACATGAGTCACACGACAAATGAGACAATAGGGCCAGGAAATGTCCGAATCGATGAAAACCCGGTATGACCGCATAATGAACAACAAAGGGTTCGACGAAAGTTCACTGGTGTGGTTGCACAGTCCAGCAGCAAAGGGAAGTCTCCTAAGCTTCAAGCTAAATGGGACGGTCCATACCGGATTGTGACCAGGATCAACGATGTAACCTACCAGATACAGAAAGGCGTAATAGGGACGCCTAAGATCGTCCATGTGGATCACCTGGCGCGTTATTATGGGGCCGATAATGCTCAGAACGAGCATGTCTTACGGGGGGGGCAGTGTTGCGCGCCTAAGTTGACGTCTGGTACCTGGAACTAGCGCTATCTAGTGTCGGGGACCAGAGTGAGTAGGGCTTCCTAGAAAATATCGATCTTGAACTTTCCACCAACAGCGCCATCTAGTATCGAACAGAATAATTATGCTTTCTAGAAGCCCCACACTCGAACTTTCTGCGCCTGGTCGGTCGGCGTCCGTATTTGCTGGAATATATGGATGTTTCGGTGGAAAAGTTGTATTTAAAGCCGCTGCAAGCCGCGATCGGGGCAGTATTGAATTGGCGGCACAAGCGAAGACTTCGGAGCGAAATAAAGTGAACTAAAATGTGTGTCTTTTAAGTTTTAATTGGTGTAAAGTGAATTAAAGTGTCAATTTTGGTAATTTTATCGACAGTTTTTATTGTCACGAACGCTAAGCTCGTAACAGTACACGAGCAGCTCAGGTTAGATTCCCGCTGGTACATATTAAATTATTAAAAAAAATTAAAGACTTCTCTTTATAAAGGAAAGGAAGTAAGGAAGGAATCCCAAAATAACGTATTAGTATATTAAGAAGAGTTTTATGAATAAAATACATATCAGGCTAGGCTGTATGTTATAAGAACGACCTTAGTCTGCCTAAATTTTCGAATCGCTATTTTTGCCATTGTCCTTTTACAGTACGTGAGCAGCCCAGATTCGATTCCCACTGGTACATTTTAAATTATTACAAAGAATTTAAAGACCTTTTTTATTTAAGATACTGGACAAACCCAAATTTAGGGTAAACTAGTTCATCATATATGCGTTTCGCTAAACTGGTACAGACTCGGTCAAACTAGTTCTTATTCATGTAAGGCTCAACCGGTTTCAGAAAAAACCGGTTGAGCCTTACATGATTAAGAACACTTCATGATAAACTGGTATGGCCTAGTCTATACTAACAGGGAATAATAAAATACCAGAAGTAATAAAATCAAGATGCACTTATTAATCAGATCACAGTCAATTTTATTTATTTTTGCATGATGTATTCTGATGGAACTTGGAATTTAAATCACAATTTTTTTCTTGCATTTTCATCTATTTCTTAAAAAGTTCATTACGCAGCTGCACCTTACAAATCCTTGGCCTGATCCAACCGAATATTTAGCGGCTATAGTTCTCAGCGATATTTCCATATCTTGTTTGACCCAGCCCACTTTTAAAAATTTCTGAATGCAAATATCGAATTCAGTTCTGAAAGAAAGAAAAAAAAAACAAGTCAAAGCAAACATTTTTCAATAACCAGAAAAATATGGTACTATCGACATTCAATGATATTATTAACATGGACTTTAATAATCCAGTGAGTAAAAAACCTGTACCTGCAATATAAATTTTGCAATACACCATGTTTGGTGCCAACTTTGTAAATGCCCTCATTATTTCTCTGAAGGATAACCCCAATGATGTTTCTGAGGTCACCTCTTCTTTTGTCTACGTCTGGAATTGGTATGATGTATTCTGCAATGCTGGTGGGCGGAAGGGATTTGTCCGAAGAAGCTTTCATTTTTTCAGCTTGTTTTTCAAGATTTTTCACTACCGTTTTTATAGCATCTTGAATGTCCTGTGTGTTAATTTCCATAATGCCGCCATCATCATCTTCACCATTCGAATCATCTTCGATAATTCATCTAATATAATTCAACATCTAATATATTCATCTATTATAATTTTATGCGGCAACGATGAAGTCGAAAGTCCTACTCTAAGCTAAATCCCAAATAAGGCCTCGTAAGGTGATTGCTTTATTCCAGAATGAAAGGCGCGGTATTTTATGAACTGGACATCTCTCAAACCCTCCGACCATTTTGTTGAATCGTTGTCCTTCAACCAAGAACTTATTATGTTCTTTATATCTTGATGAGCTCGTTCAACGGAACCCTGACTTTGACTGTGCCTAGGTTTTCAATGCAAAATTTAAAGTTCTAGCCAAAGAGTCATTAACTCACTTATCACATTATTAAAAAATTATCTACCATTGTCAGATTGGAGAATACAAGGCGCGCCTATTGTTAAATGTATATTATTTAGGTGGTAGGCCACTTCTGCCGCCCTCTTCGATGTTGACGCAAGCAGAGGTACAAATTTTGTTAAATGGTCTTGATAAACCATAATAAATTTAGATTGTCCATTTGTCTGTGTGTCTGAAAATATATTAAATCCACCTGGCATTTGCTATTCATTTCAGAGTGAAGAATCGGCTTTGAAACTAGTCCTCACTTCTTTTCTGTTTTCCTTTGTTGACACATATCCCACATTAATAAGTAGAAATTTATGATTTTTTTTGTTATATTAGCATATTTTTTTATGCCTCGGCTAATATCCTGTCACGTCCACCGTATCCAACTGCCACATGAGCTGCATTGATCACACCATTAACCTCATTAAGTTGTAGATAGTATTTTGTATTCCCATCCGTCCGAGCTATTAGTTTCTTTACACCTCCGATTTTTAGCACACGAAATCGTTTCCGTCGTCTTTGTTTTAATGGTGTTCCTTTTCCTAACAAGTGGAAGGTGCTGAAAACAGCACCTTCCACTTGTTAAATCAATTTGGAATATTTATCTGAAGGCAACACATTATAATGCGAAGTTTTTTGATAATCACTTTCACTTTATAAACTTTTCCACTGTTTATGATCAGCTTGTATACTACATGTGGAAGGCTCATACATGATTACAAATAACAAAACTGTATTATGCTTTATTTATATTTTCAAAACACAAGTAACAATAATTTGAAATTCCAAGCAGAACGAGCGTTTAAAATCAACAAACGGGAAAGCGGTGGACGTGCGCGGCGTAAAAAATACGACCGGTGGATTTTCCGGCTGCACAGGTCTCGACACGAACCAGCGTAAACATTTTTGACTAGGAAAAACCAGTTTATCCTAAAGTGTACTTATTTTTATTAGGCTAAACCAGTTCAGCCAAGGCTAAACTAGTTTGTCCTAAAGGTCATAGGACGGACCAGTTTGATCTAGTCTGTACCAGTTTCTCTTAACGCATATAGAATGAACTAGTTTGGCCTAGGAAAAACTAGTATATACTGAAATCGGAAATATAAAGAATGATTTATTATATAAAGACATCGTCATTATCATCTTAATTACAATAACAGACCTTCACAAGTTTACTAATGAACTTATATGCCTATATATTACCTCCAAAGAATGCCATAACAGACCATAAAATCAGCAAAAATTAAAGAGTGATGGTAGTAAAGTCTTGACCTATCAGCATCATCATTATTATTGCATCTCTTACCAGGCCATGTCTTAATCTATCTAGTAGAGGGACGCCCTACATTTCGGCATCCGTTACGAGGCTTCTATGCAAGCACATTTCTGACCCCATCAGTTACCCCTTCCGCTTACTAATCCGTATTAACTTTGGTCTATAATTATTATTAAAATAGATATACAGAAAGGTTACGTAAATGAAATTTCTTTGTAAAATACTTCTCACTGTGATTTTTTTTTTCAAAAAGAATGTTCCATATCATGTCATAGCACTATTATCACCTCGGCATTGTAACATTGATTATAATATATTAAAACGTATGAAGGACATCACAGTTTAAATCCCGCAGGGAACAACTGTTTGTTTGTTCATGTATAAATTGTTTATGTAAAACGACTTTGTATAGTTTAAATTTCTTATACATTTAGAACCAAACGTTGAAATACAAAATATTATTAAATAATATAATACTACTAGGATTTCCTATGTGTAATTGTCTTACCAAGCTTAAGTTTACTAAAATGGCATTTCCCTTAGTAAAGAAACTAGAGTTATATAAACAGCGTCTGAATGTGGTCTTCACTTATGATCCCTTATTAAAGATATTCCTTAAACTATCATTTCTGTTTAAGTTATTACTGGATTTGTTATCCCAGTTTTATCTCCATTTGAAATATGAATTACATGGGGTACGTTTCAAAGTTCGAAATATTTAGAGATATTCAGGGAAATTTTTCAACTTTAACATGCTTTAAATTGAGAGAGTGGCCTTTTTTCTAATGAGGTAAGTGTAGCAGTTTACCTTAAGTGTTATGTGATTGATAAAATTGCTTGTTTGAATGGAATTAATGTAATAGAAAGTATTTGTGTGAATTTAGTCGACAGGAAAATCTCATACCGAGTCAAAACACATACGTTTGGTTCAGGCTTATTAATGTTTGATGTTGACCGTTGGATTTATGTGAAGCTGATCGACAGGACAATTTCGTACCAGGTTATATCACACGGCTGGTTGAAAGGACACATTCGTCTGATCCAGGATTATGAATTGTAGAGATACACTGATCAAATAGATAGTGCCGTCCGGTCCATGCGTAACCATTTGTTCGACCACGCATCCGGTCAGGTGAGGTTAGTCTAAGAAAGTAAAGATAACAGTATCGTCAGTGCCAGACCCAAGCGGCTGATCGTAGGGACATACTATTTTGCAGATGCATGATATGACTTGAAATAAAGATGCCGTCAAGTCCATGCGTTGTCGAAAGGACGCATGCTTTCTATTATTTCTATTTCTATTATTGTATGATTGAGGATGGGGTATCTAGGCGTATTTCAGAAATTGATGCTAGTGACAAGACACGGATCTATCAATATGATCCGGAAAATAAAAGGCAATTGTTGGTATGGGCCTAATCAGAAGGACAGTTACCGACAAAATTGCAAAGACCTCGCAACGTCGGCAAAAAATGGTGGCTAGTTTTTTCACGGGGCGGACATTTGTAGACATCAATGCTGGAAAATTACAGGTCAGCCAACTCTGAATGGTATTACTACAGTTGCATTATCAAAAGCTTTTCAAGCAGTGCGGAAGAAGAGTATGTAGTGTGTTTCTATAATATTAATTACGGAGTAATAACTCGTTTGGTCACTCTTCACCCAAATTTCTTTCGAAGAAATCATTACCCATATTGTTCCAAGTCACAGAGAAATCACTTACGTTATCTATTTGATTACACATAGTTATAATTATTCAGCAATGGTTAACAACAAAGTGTTACCCATATCAACATCACTTCTTGTGATACCATCTACTGTAGAGAAAATGACTATCTGATTATGATTTCTTATATTTACGCGAATATTCCACATGGAATAAAACGAATTTTACGGATTTTATCGCATTTAATTTTAACTCTATTGATTTCCGACGCTTCGGGCACTTTACAGCGCCCATGGTCACGGGGGGCGGGGAGGGTATGGAGCGGAACCGTTGACTACAGACGCAAACAATAAAAAAGGAACGGTCTATAATCTGTTAAAACAAACACGGGACGCACCTACATTAAAATTGTTATCGAAGGGCATGCATTTTGCAATAGCACCGCAAAAAATCCAGTACGAAGACTATCTATAGCGTTGAGGATTGTCTGTTTGAAAACAATGTGGAGAAGGAAGATTTAGCGGACATACGTCAAGACATTTCGCTACGTCACTACCTCGAAGTTCAACTCTGAAACTAAATCTCCCTAAAGACAAGTTTAAAGCGTTATGCAACTTACGGATCAGACCAGAGCTTACGATTCTTCGCGCAGATAAAGGAAATGCTACGGTAGTAATGGATACGTCAGATTTTAACTTTAAAATACAAGGAGTTTTAGCGGACAAATGTACGTACAAAAAAGTGAAAACAGACCCTACAACCAATGTATTTAAAACAACTAGCAATCTAATAAAGAAATACTCAGAAAAATTGAATCTCGACGTGAATTCGATAATATCACTATGTATCAAACCCGAACGCTTCACTACGTCCCATAATGAACCAAATTGATTCACCAACATATAAAATGGTTCAACACCCAGCAAAAATATTTTCACTACTGAGAATTGATACACAAGCACACATACAAAGGATTTTGTTAGTGAGGTAGGAGATCTATATCTTGTCGACAGTAACACTATGATTAGTTTTGATGTCCATTTACTTTTTACATGCCTACCTATCGAAGACTACATCTCAATTGTTATTTGGAAGCTAGAACAACACAATATGCTTGCGGAATTTGCAGTACTACTCAGACATTGCCTCACAACTGGCTATCTATTTTGGAAGGAAGAGTTCTTCATCAAGTAGATGGCGTGGCGATGAGCTCACGTGTATCTCCCATTTTCGCCGATATATTCATGAAGGTTTTCAAAGATAAAGATCTTTTCACTGCACGTGTATATCCAAGACTGATTTCAGACCACCTTAACCCCATAAATTCAAAAATTCAATTCACTGTAGAGTTAGAAGCAAATAATTGCTTAGTTTTCCTAGATGTTTTAGTTATTCGAAATCCTAATAACAGTATCAATCATACTGTGTATAGAAAAAAGGCCTTCTCAGTTGGCTACCGTAGGAAAATATTAGTTCCAGAGAGTACAAAGGATCTGTGACAGTAAACACCCGGCCGATGAGTTCCAGCATGTCAAGCAAGTTTTTCACAACTATGAGCTTCAAGTCCCGCATCTCTGTCACAGTGACCAAGTGAAACTGACCTTA